CCATCTGTGTCCCCCCCAGGCCGGGCCGGAGCCCACGCGGTGCCAGGGCCGCCCCCGAGGGAAGCTCGGCCCGGCCTCCCCCCCCTCCCCTCCCCGGTTGTTCCCGTTGGGTTTCACACGTGACAGTCACGTCAAGCACACAAATATTTCGCTGCTAACGTGTCTGGAAAAGTTCTGCTGGAGATGAGGGTGGAAAGAGGGAGGGGGGACACCCGATCCTTGGGGGACAAAGGTGCCCTGGCCCTGTGCCTGGTCACGGGGACGGGGACAAGGACATGCTCCTGGGACTCCCCATTCCACCCACTGAAGAACCAGAGCCTCCCCTCCCTCCCTGTGTTAAAGCAGCAGGGCAGGATCATGTAAACAAAGTAATTTTTATTAAAAAAACACAAACACACTGGGCAAAAAAAACCCAAGCAAACAACATATACAGCAAGGCCACAGACAGTGTAGTAAACGTCACTGGTGATAGTGTTACCTCAGAGAGAACACCAGAGCAAGGGTTACAAGGATATTCTGTAAAAGCTGGTGTAATTTCCAAATACAAAGGGCACTTCACTTCCACTAAAGGAATTACAAAGTCAGAGAGGGGCTGGAAACCCAGGAGTATGAAGTGCAACACCTCTTCCTCCTGGAAGTCCTAACAGTTATTGCCAGCAGTAGGTGGAAACTTCAATTTGCTCCCAAGGTGGCAAARCACTAAGTTCCCTCTTTCAAGATCTTAAAAAGATCTGAAATAATTTGCAGCYATCAGCCCATGAATTGGGAGATGTTGGTGAACAAACCTTTGCTGCTACCCCCAGGTCCATGGTCAGCACAGCTCACCTGTCATCCAGGTGATTACACACTCAGGAAGAACCTAAAAACTTTGATTTTCCTCTCTAAATGCCAACAAAAAATTCAAGAGCATGACTGAGGCTCTCAGTCACAGCCTCCCCTTGGCTGCTGGGAGGATTTATCCCAAAATCTTGAGATCATGGATACACCAAGCAACACTCCTGACCGTGTATTGTCTTTACAGCCCCAAGAAGCTGTTTTTGTAACAAATCTGTAGCAAAAAGCTAAAACCAAAAATCTTTTCCTCCCAGCGAATGAGCTCCACTAAATAGGAAACCCGGATTTGCACAGGAAGGAGGCAGCAGGGCATGAACAAAAGCTGAGCAGCTCRATAAGAACTGACATCCCTTCACCAGAGTCTGAAAATATGACCACAAATTAACACAGAACTGGTGTTTGGGGTATTTTTTTTTTTTTTTGCTTCAAACCAGGCTAAGATCTGTTCCAGCAGCAGAGCTTTATATCAACCACACTCCAACATGCTCTTGAAAAATAAACATTTAAAACAAAAATATAACCATCTCTGGAAATTTGGTCATCTGTTCATTGATCAACACCCAAAGAACAATTCTCAGGTCAGCAGAACTTTCTCAGAAATGCCCCAACCCCTAACACAGGGGCTGCTCCCAACCCTCAGCCCCAGCTCAGAGKGCTTTCCAGTCGATGGGCTTCTTCCCGGATTTCTTGAGGAATTCATTTGTCTTGGAGAAGTGCCGGCAGCCGAAAAACCCTCTGTTGACAGAGAGGGGCGAGGGATGGACCGTCTGCAGGACGTGGTGACGTTTCTGGGAATGCCAGAGGAAAACATTTGTTAGATTTGYGGGGTTTGGGCTGTTCCTGCTCCAGGGCAGGTGTGATTTGTGATTTATCCCTGTTCCTCCTCCTCCTGYACCAGCCTGAAACCCAAAGAACCAGCCACAAGGACCAAGACTTCTGCCCCACTAAGCAAAGACATAAATGCCCTGGCATTTCCCAATTGCTGCCATCCCACCASCAGATTTCAGATTGATTCATGAGCCTTTTCCTAGGAAAAACAGCTCTGTCCTTGTGAGACGCTGCTGACAGCAGGAGCTTACACTTGCTCCACTTTCCTTGCTTAATTCTGGCAAAGGCTAAGCTGGGGCAGAAGGGTGACTCAATCTGACAGAGTCGAGGCAGGGAAAATTCCCAATCCCATAAGGGAAGTGCCCTCTAGTGTCCASCAAACCGAGGGAAAAATCGGGGAGAGGAAAAGGAGGTGTACCCTGTCGATGGAGCTGCCTTTCCTCTGGGCATAGGCTCCCCACAGCATGAAGACAACCCCGTGCAGGTTTTTGTTGAGCCAGGACACCACGACATCCGTGAACTGCTCCCAGCCCCTCTCCCTGTGGGACGTGGCCTGGTGAGCCCGAACCGTGAGCACCGCGTTGAGCAGGAGCACTCCTGACAAATAAATCACATTCCAGAGGGTGAAAAAAAGAGTTAATCCATCCCTGAAATGCCCAARGCCRGGCTGGAYGGAGCTCTGAGCARCCTGGGAGAGTGSAAAGTGTCCCTGACCCTTGGCAAGGRCTGGAATGGGATGAGCTTTAAGCTCMTTTCCARCCCAAACCATTCAGGGATTCTGGGACCCAAACTGCTTTTTTCCTGTTGATGAAGTAAATTTTCGTATTAAGGCACTCAGAAGTGCTTTTCTGTCCTACAGATGGATTATTTCCAACTACAGGGCTGTTTTTTAAGTAAGATTTTTTTTTTCTGCTCCACACTGAGTGTCTCCGAGCTCACCTTGCTTGGCCCAGCCCGTCAGGTCCCCATGGCCAGGGTGGGTGAAGCCCTCAATGTCTTCAGAGAGCTCCTTGTAAATATTTTCCAAGCTGCAAACCAAACCACCAGAAGATWTTTAATATGACAAGAGCAAGCAGCACCACTTACTGCTCTAACCAGGCAAGAAAAGCACTGATTTTAATCTCATTATTTAAGATAATTAAGCCATTTGTAGAGTCACGGCAGCAAGGACTCTATGTGTCTGTCTGGAAGCTTTAATGAGACTGGAAATTAAAATTTACATCCAGAATATCACCAAAAATACACAGAATTATCCTTATTTTGCAGTGATTTTTTTTCCAGGCAATGCACAACTCAAATTTAAGTASTTGCAAACCACTGCACATCAATTTTCCAGCTTCCAGGCCTGAGCAACAGAGAACTGCAAATAATTAAGGAACAAAAGGGATTTTGCAAATTTTCYTACCTGGGGGGAGGAGGAACAGGCTTCTGGACACTGAAACAGAGCCCATGAGCTTGCTTAGGTCCATGATATGGATCTTGTCCCAAAATGACAGCTTTTACCTGAAAGAAGACCTTGGTTAGCACTGAGCTGGAATCAGTATTATAAAACTAATATAATTTGAGTGCAGAAGTCCAACATTTTCACAGTCACAAAAAAACATCTTGTCATTTTCCAAGTAGGTTTCATCCCCTTTCAACTTCATGCCACACTTGCTGTGATATTTTTGACCTGTTTTATTGGAAATTACATTATCTTATGCTGTCTTTTTTTTCTTTCAATTAAATCTGTTACTAATCAACTAAAAGAACAAGAGATGTGCAAGATCCAAAAAACTGTGAACTAGGTTAACCTGGTAACACTAGAAAAAAAAAGATTAAAAGGATCAAAGAAAACTCTGTGGCCTGTGAGGGTAATAAAGCAATAAAATCACGGTTTGGTATCAGACATGAAAGGGAAGGCTGGATTTATGAGTTAGGTGAGGCAAACAATAACATCGACATCCCATGGGATCCAAGTTTAAACAATAACATTTGGATCCCATGGGATCCAAGTTTAAAGGACCAAACACAAAAGGAGAGTGTCTGTGCACCAACCCTGCACCTTCACGGTTTTAAACTCCCCGGAGCAACCTAGAGAGCCCCCCTGCGGCTCTACTCACATCCCAGATGTCGCACATCTGTGTCCAGGTGAAGACCTGCTCCGGGGGCGGATACACCGTGTAGCGCTTCCTCTCCTCGGCCACGAACTTCATGAGCTGCGGGGGGAACGGGGGCTCAGCGGAGGCTGCGGGGGCACAGCGACCGCTCGGGAGARGGATCGGGGAATGCTGCTCACCTCCACGAAGTAGGGCTTGGAGAACTCCCCGGCCAGCTGCCGCCGCCAGCTGTCGCCGAAGCCCGGGGGCACATTCCGCTGCGCCAGCAGCTGCCGCGCCGCCTCCTTGTTCTTGCGGATGCGCTCCTGCTGCTCCTCGCTCAGCGCCTGGCCCGTCTCATCCCCCGCCTCTTTCGCCTTCTTAGCGGCGCTCACCTGGAAGCGGCGGGCAAGGCGGAGGTTGTGGAGGATGCGGGAGCGCAGCRGGCCCAAACCGCGGCGGGGAAACACCGCGGCCATGCTGGGACAGACCCCGCCCAAGGGGCGGCCCCAACACACGCGGCAGATCCGCGGCAAAAACACAAAGCGCGCTCCCATTGACCGTGGCGCAGCGCTGGCCCCGCCCACAGGCGGGRCGACAAACGCCCGCTCGCTATTGGTCAGCGGGAGAACCCGGCTCCTCCCTATTGGTTCGCCGCGGCYGGCGGGGAGGTTTCTACCTAGCAACAGTGATGCTACTTAGGATCTCGGCGCCCATTGGGCGGCAGCGAAGCGGGGCCGCTCGATTGGCAGCTCAGCCACGCGTGCAGGCGCGCGGAGCTTTGGAAATGTTGCCCCCCCCCACTGCCCTCAGAAAAGGCCGCCAGCTCCCCCAGGCCCCCTCACACACACACGGAGCTCCACACACACGGAGCTCCACACACACGGAGCTCCACACACCCGCGCCGCCACCAGGCCACTCTCCTCCGCACCCTCTCCCCTCCTCCGGAGCCGCGGGCTCCCTCAGCCCCGCGCCCGCTACCTCAGAATCGCCGCCCGGCTCCGGGGAGCGGCCGCGCTTCTTGGCCGGCGCGGGGCTGAAGAAGGAGTGCAGTGTCCTCTGCCCGATCATGGCTGCGGCGGAGCGGGGCAGGCAGCGAGCGRGGCCGGCGGTGAGTGAGGGGCGGCAGCGGCGCGGAACCGGCGGGGGGCGGGACTCGAATTTGGCGCCAAAAGCGCGCGCGTGCGCTGGGGGGCGTGGCCCAGCTGGGATGGGGGCGGGGCTTCGCGCGCGGTGTTTCCCGGGGCGCGCTCCCGTTTCCCGGGGCGCGCTCCCGTTTCCCGCGGGATCGCGGATCCCGCTCCCGCCATCGCTCCCTCGGGCATCGCTGCCGGTCCCGGTTCCGCCCATGGACGCATTCGTGGTTAAACTGCCCCGCGGGCAGGAGGGGGATGACGGCGGCGGGAAGAGGCCGCGGCTGGAGGAGCCCGGCCCGGGGCGGCCCCTCCCGCGGGAGATCCGCGCCGAGGGGCTCAACTGTGATTATCGCATCCTCTTCGGCAAGGCCGAGGCGGACGAGCTCTTCCAGGAGCTGGAGAGGGAGGTGGAGTATTTCGAAGGTAAACTCCAGCCCTGTGAGAGTGCCCGAGCACGGCCTGCCCATGGAGGCTCCGGAGGCCTCCCAAAGGGCCTGGACAGTGCTCTTGGAGACCCTGCTTGGGCAGCAGARTGGCCTGGGTGACCCCCATTGCTCYYTTCCAATCTCAACSCTTCYGTGTCCAGCTTTATTCCCYTCCACATCCCCCTCAYTCCTTCCCAGTGAAGCATTTCCCTACCCAGCTCACTCAAGTGGGTTTCCAGAGCAATTTCCAGGGCCCAGACACAAGTGGCRGKCTTGTGGAAGGTTTCTGCAGCCACYTGRTGCTTSCACAATGTGGCCCTGAGAAGCCAAGAACGCAGGTCTGACCCCACAGGGGTGGTTTTGCTCAGCTGGAAGTGTTTSTCAAGGGATAATCCTGGAGTGGTGACTGGAATTTGTTGTAGATGCAGTGTAAGAGATACAGGATGGGAGTGCTGTCCTGTTCATCCCATTCATGGGGGATAACAAGGTAGTGTCCAGCTTTGTTGGGACAGAAACTGGAAACAGGGATGACAGTTTTGGGGTTGACATGAGCACCCTCATTCCTGTTGCAAATACAACAGGGTCTGTGCAAACACAGACCTGGGTCTGATCCTTCCCCTTTCTCATTTAAACAGAAGACCTGACAAAACTGCACGTTTTTGGCACRTGGCACAAGATTCCCAGGAAGAAGGTCACCTACGGAGACCCTGGCTTGTCCTACACTTACTCAGGGGTCACATTCTACCCTAAGCCATGGATTCCGGTCCTGACCCGCATCCGGGAGCGCGTCACCTCAGAAACAGGGCACACCTTTAACWTGGTCCTTATCAACAGGTACGGCCCCTTATTCTTAAGTTGAAACAAAAAAAAAGAAGCTTTGTGCAGCATTTGGCCAATTGCTGATGAGTTGATTTAATCGGTAAATAATTGATTATGTGATTATTGGTAAGTAATGAATGGATTTGCATGCACAGGTACAAAGATGGTCTGGACCACATCGGGGAGCACCGGGATGACGAGAAGGAGCTGGTTCCCCGCAGCCCCATCGCCTCCGTGTCCTTCGGAGCCTGCCGGGATTTCGTGTTCCGACACCGGGACCAGCGGAGGAAAGGAGGGATGGCAGGCACRGGGAGGATCACCCTGCAGCTGGCCCACGGCAGCCTGCTGCTCATGAAACACCCCACCAACGTGTACTGGTACCACAGCCTGCCCCCACGCAGGAGGGTGCTGGGCCCCCGGGTCAACCTCACCTTCAGGAAAATCCTGCCCAGCACCCAGCAGGGAAAAGTTCAGCAATCAGGACCTTTGGGAAAGTGAAGCTTTAAATCCTGATGGAACTGTGGATTCCCCTGTGGTGATGAGAGGGACTGGAGGAGCAAATGGAAATGAGAGGTTTGGAAACTTTGCTGATAAAGCAAACCACAGGTCTTGATGGCAAGGTTTTTTTCCCATGGGAAATGTTGCTCTGGTCCTGCTGATCCCGATTTTTGGTGGTTGATACCCTTGTTTTGCTCAGGAGGAAGCTTGTTCTCAGCTGATCTTAATCTAAGCAGTGTTCCAAAAAGTTGAAAATCCTCCACAGCCCGGAGGCAGTAGTTTTTCATAAATATTCTGAGGTACAAGCTGCAATCATTTAAAGTTGACACACTACAGGTCACACATTCTGTCAATGAGCTCTAGTTTGCATGGGTTTTTTTAAGTTAAAATAAAGCACAAACAAGCCTGACATGGAGAAGTGGGGTGCTGAGGTGTGAAGATGGGGGGTGCAGAGTGGCTGGATTAATTCCTCTCTGCTTGAATTTCTTTGCTGCTGCACCTCCACTGCTCCTGGGGAGGAGGAAGCACAAGATTTTTCCTTTCTCAGGTCCTTTGTACTAAAAGGTGGTAAAAAAAAATCTTTAGGGGAAGAACTGGGTTRGGMCATTTCCATGGACAGCCCAGTGTGRAAGGCTGTCACTCTCAGTGTATTTTCCAAAATAATTATCCCTAGGAATCCCATCCTGACTTCCTGAAAGCCCACAGGAAATCCTGCCAAAGTGAGAGAATTCTGTCCAGTCATCAGGAGATCTTGAGGCACCAAGGRATGGTAAATTYTGAGTGAGAATGGGAAMCAAATCCTGTGTAACCACTGGAATYAGTGCAGGGCTCTGGCCTTCAGTGGTGAGCCCATTATTCCTATGGAATTCAGGCTTGTGCAGGCAATTTGGAGTTGGGATTTCCCACCTTCTGGCATTCTTGAGATGCTCTGTGGTGCATGAAGAATTCCTGCAGAAAATCCTTACCCAGGGCTTGTGTTGTTTTTACCCCTTTGGCTCCCAGCTTGGTGTTTGTTTCAAAACATTCCCACACTGATTTTTCTAACAAGTTCTTTTATTGCTACTGTACAATTACAAAAATACCCTGAAGTGAAAAAAGCAACTTCCAACAGCAGTGCAGTGCTTCCACCAGAACAGACATTTTTAAATTAACACACAAAATAACACAAGAATAATCCAAACACAGAGATGCCATCTTGGAGCTCTTAATTCTTTACAATTTATTAACACYTTCTCCACCACGGCAGCTTGAGAGGGACAAATAACAGCGTGTGAGCCTTGTGCCTGCACAGAGCCCTGGGATCTCCAGAGGGGATGCTGGGCTGGAAAACAGATCCCAGGGATCTTCAGATGGGAGGCTGGGCTGGAAACAGATCCCAGGGATCTCCAAAGAGGAGGTTTAGCTGGAAAACAGATCCCAGGGATCTCCAGAGGGGAGGCTGGGCTGGAAAACAGATCCCAGGGATCTTCAGATGGGAGGCTGGACTGGAAAACAGATCCCAGGGATCTCCAGAGGGGAGGCTGGACTGGAAAACAGATCCCAGGGATCTCCAGAGGGAGGCTGGACTGGAAAACAGATCCCAGGGATCTCCAGAGGGGAGGTTTAGCTGGAAAACAGATCCCAGGGATCTCCAGAGGGGAAGCTGGGCTGGAAAACAGATCCCAGGGATCTCCAGAGGGGAGGATGAGATCCCCAATCCCTGCCCAGATCCAAAGCTCATGGAGGCCTGGGAGGATCTGGCAGAGCTCAGGACCAGGACTAAGGTGTGGTCTTTGCTTCCTTTGTCACCTGAGGGTCAAGCCAAGCCCATCCACTCCTCCCCACCAGGGAAAGCCAGAACAAAGGCTCAGCCCTCCCCTTTTTAGCCCTTGAGGGAGATCCAGAGTCAATCCATAGCCCAGGGAAAAAGCTCCAGGCAGAAGAAAAACCTTCTGGCTGTGCAGGAAGAGGCAGCTTTGTCCCTGTGCYGGCTGCCAGATTTCTGACAGTCCATAGTGTGCGTGTCCTCTGCCCCCAAATCCTGCACAACTCATCCAAGGGGCTGCTCAGCTGAACTYCCAAATCCAGGAACAACCTCAAAGCAGAGTGTTGAGCATGGATAATGCAGGACACCCRCTGCTGGCACTGGGAGTGGTTTCAGTCCTGAGGTACCAGGGCAGATCTGCTGGAGGAGATGTTTGGGTGATGGTTTTAGATGACCCCCAGTGCTCCCAGTAGGGAGGGCTGGCTCCTCCTCCAGCTCTGTCAGCTCTCCCTTCAATGGCCAGAGCAATTTTTTTGGCATTTTGCATCCTTCAAGGTTTATTTTTGTTTGTTTTCTTGGTTTTCTAGACATTTTTCTAAACTTAAAACACATTAAAACCAAGCTACTGCTTGTGCAGCACAGCCAGGAACCAGGACCCAGTCCAGCAGTGGATTTATCAACATTTATGCACTGTGAGCATTACCTGGAGCAGGAATTGTGCTCCAGACTCTGGAATGATGAGTTGTGTAAATAATTTTGCATATCCACCCATTTTGCTACTCTTGCTTTGGCTGGTTTGGAGCCTCTCCTGAGGAAGTGTGAACACTCCCAAGCTTTGGGCAGCACTATGAATTCATGAGGTACAAAGTTGCCCTAAAAAAAAAACTATTTAAGACAGGTTTTATTTGAAAACTTCACACTGAAAAAAAGCTTGTCTGATGAGGGATTTTCTCCTCCAAGCTTACAAAGACAGAGCTAAAAACAACCTACAGATTTTATTCCTGGTCATTTAAAAGCAGGTTTTTAAAGGAGGACTTYTGCTGCTTCTCCCTCTGTGCTTTGTTTGGGATTTTTTTAAACATCAAACAATCCAAAGCAGCAGAATTCCCCTTATTTCTATTTACAGGGCAGCCTGGAGCTGATACAATGACACCAGGATTCCCAGATTTCTTCATGAGACCACTAAGTGCTCACCAGTCCTGGCCCTGTTGTTTATGTTCCATTTAACAAGGCCAGGGGCTGCTCTACAGCTCACCTGCAAGCCAGGAGCTTTGCTGGGAATGGAAGATTCCAGCAATAAAATGGGAAGGGCGAGTCTAGAACAGTTACAGCAGCTCAGAAATCACAGCATTAAAAGTTGTAGTTGATGCTACAAAACGACTGTATTCAACAGTGCTRAAGGAAAATGACAATACTGAGCACTAGCAAACACTTCCATGTGCTGATTCCAGCTATATTCCAAAGGTATGGAGCAATAAATTAAGGTTTCAGCTCGTAATAGATACAAAATTATCTCCTGGATAAAGCAAACTGCGTTTTAAATCAGGAGAAGGACTTTATAAAGAACTAAAGGAGTGGGGAAATCATGTGAACAGGGAAATCTTTTGGATCGTGGCTGGCTGTGGAGATGCCTTGACTTGATGGGTGGATTAGTTGGGATCTGGGGAGAAATGGGATTCCATGGAGCTCATCCCACAATTGTGAGGCATTCCCAGGACACAGTGGATGTGCAGAGGGCCRGGACAGTGGCAATGCAGCTGTTTGGGGAAGCTCAAGGCACTTYGTGTCTTAAATCATTGCCAACAGCAGCTTCCCATCGCCCCCTCCCAGGGCTCCTCGCTGGGAAAAATTGGGAATTGAGCCCTGGGATAAAATCCCTGCCTGCCAGATAAAGGCTTCTCATCACACAGTGGGGGCTGCACGACATTGGAACAGCTCCGGGAATTCGGGTACAAAACACAATTCCCAGCCATTGCCACGGAGAAGGGAACGGGGAGGGGCTGTGGGTGCATATGGAGAGATGCCAGGGGAGGGACTGGGGGGAGGGATTGGGGAAAAACCCAATTCAAACCCCTTCCAGGGCTCCCCCTGCAGTGAAATGTGTGGGATAAAGCATCTCCCTGGGAAAAAAGTGCGGTGTCAGGATGTGGAACAGAGCCCGGGGCCAAGGCAGAAAAACTCATCTCAACGCACACCTGGGGCTGCACGACCCTGGAACAGCAGGATTTGGGTACAAAACACAACTCCCAGCCGATCCCACAGGGAAAGGAGCCYGGAGCAGGGGGTTTGCATAACGGAGAGGTGCCAATCCGAGGGCTGGGGACCATCCCTGGCTCAGAGCTGGGCCGGGCTCTGCGGCTGGGCCCGGCCATGAACACGCTCGTAGAAGAGCAGGTAGGCACTGGCAGCCAGCACCTCGTGCAGGCTGGCCCTGCGCACAGACTCGTCCGAGATCCAGAGCCACTGGCTGCTGCGRGCGCCCGGCGCGCGCCGGAAGGTGACGAAGTGTCCCGAGTGCATGTCCCCGTGGTGCACAACCACGGCCATCAGGCGGTACAGGTACAGCGGGGCCCTGCGGGAGCACGG